GTGCAGCGGTGCAGCTGGGGTTGATTTTTTTTTAACTTGAGGCTGCGCCGCCCTTCGCCAGGCAACGTGCGGCGGAATATTTTTTTTGTTATGCTCATGAATCTGGAATTATTATTATTTTGAAGTCATGGAACCCCACGACTTCATCACGTATTTTTTTGTGTCAATTTTCCAACCGTTACCTTTTTTCGTGTCAATTTGCCAACCGTCACTTTTTTTGGTGTCAATCTATTTTTTTTTTTTTTTTATTTTTCCAAATACAACACAACGAGTCCATTTCCGTCAGAGAAAAGAGTCAAAGACAGATTAGCAATGGAATCATAGCGTCAAAGAAAACTACCTGTTGTGTGTCCACGATTTCCCAGACAGCATATATGGACATCTCCCCTGCGGATAACAGGCTCAACAAGACAGTTTGGTAGCTGTGTTGTGTGTCTTATATATGTTATGTTGGGAACTATCTCAGTCCAGAAAAAAAATAAATATCGTGTCAAACGGTTGGCAAATTGACACGAGGAAGGTAACGGTTGGTAAATTGACACGAAAAAATATTCCGCCGCACGTTGCCTGGCGAAGGTCAGCAGCGGCGCAGACCAACGTGTGTGAGGAATTTTGACACGAGCACGAAATTTTGACACGAGACCAGGATTTTGACACGAGACCAGGATTTTGACACGAGACGTCAGAATTTTGACACGAGAGGTTACGCCGCACTTTTTCATGTCAGAATCACAGGTCAATTTTTTTCGAAAACGTGGGCAAAATATTTTCACCGGAGGTATTTTGACACGAGAAAACGACAATTTGACACGAGCGCCATCGCACACACACGAAGGTATCAACTCAGTCGGCAAGCTCGCACGCAGCTTCCCGCACACCCACACACGTGAACAAAACGCTCCCGGGAGTACATCGCGATAGGGGAACGTCAAGCCGCGGTTAGGATCGTGTGCGTTCATCGCGGGATCGAGAACAAAACACTCCGAGGTTGGTCTGTCGGGACTCTGGACTCGAAGCACACGGGAGATAACCACAACAGAGGCTAGTCGGGTGCCCCGCCCGTGAAGGGAGAGGTTACAGTAGTTGTTGGTGGAAGAGACGGTAGCTCTGGGCGCACGTACGAGGGGCGCGAAGCCGCTGGCGGCGGTTGGGATTTGGGGAGTGTAGTTCGCGGAGTGCAGTTCTCGGGAGTGGAGAGGAAACATGTCTCCAGCTTTGCTACGCCAAACATGGCCATCACGAGGAACATGTCCTCCTCTCCAGCTACCGCGCACAACACAGCAAGCAGTAGAACCTGCATGCACTCATCATACCACTCGTAGCGGATTCTACCTCGCGCAAGGCGCGCCATCCCCTCGCTCCGTGTCGGGTGCGGTGATAAGGGAGCGCGACCGTTGGGTTTCCCGGCGGTGCAGCGGTGCAGCTGGGGTTGATTTTTTTTAACTTGAGTCTGCGCCGCTGCATATTATGATGAANTGCGCGAGGTAGAATCCGCTACGAGCGGTATGATGAGTGCATGCAGGTTCTTCTGCTTGCTGTGTTGTGCGCGCTAGCTGGAGAGGAGGACATGTTCCTCGTGATGGCCATGTTTGGCGTAGCAAAGCTGGAGACATGTTTCCTCTCCACTCCCGAGAAACACACTCCCCAAATCCCAACCGCCGCCAGCGGCTTCGCGCCCCTCGTACGTGCGCCCAGAGCTACCGTCTCTTCCACCAACAACTGCTGTAACCTCCCCCTTCACGGGCGGGGCACCCGACTAGCTGCTGCTGTGGTCATCTCCCGTGTGCTTCGAGTCCAGCGTCCAGACAGACCAACCTCGGAGTGTTTTGTTCTCGATCCCGCGATGAACGCACACGATCCTAACCGCGGCTTGACGTTCCCCTATCGCGATGTACTCCCGGGAGCGTTTTGTTCACGTGTGTGGGTGTGCGGGAAGCTGCGTGCGAGCTTGCCGACTGAGTTGATACCTTCGTGTGTGTGCGATGGCGCTCGTGTCAAATTGTCGTTTTCTCNCGAGTCGCATGAAGGGTGCGCTGCATCCTGCTAAGGGTTTTCGGCATCTTGTGCTTACTTCCTTGCGTACGGATGACCGCTGCGTATGACCTAATTTTATTTTCTTGTGCTTTCACTTCCTGAGACAGTTGTAAGCACTGTGTAACTGCCTCGGGGGTGCTTGACCATTTTAACACAACGTGGTGCGATGATCCCTCTTGCGCGCAGTGAGGGTTCTCGACCCCGCACAACATCATCTACTCGACCACCACAATGGTTACCGCCAAAAAAACAACGGAGGTAAAAAAAAAAATGGTAACCTGGTTGCCGAGTTCACGAAATTAATTGGCTTGTTTTACAACGTCGTTGTCAAGCGACGAAAACCCAACCCCGATGGCAAACACCGGCTGTGGTTTCGTAATTGTGCCCGGCTGATGTTCGTTGCGCAGCTCAAGCACGTTGCCGGGAATTGTAACTGGCTGCAGCAGTTCGCCTTCCCGTTGCTGGCGACCGTCATCCAGGCGCCCCTCCGAGGTTTCGTTCCGTGTAGTTGTCATCTCTCCATCGTTAACCGTCATAAATAACGCCATCGATTGTTCGCCAGTGCCATTTACCCGGACATGACACTGCTTTCAACGTCACACCGACGCGGGAAGTCACCCGAGGTGTCCAGTGTCTAAAGTTGGGAAGAGGGCGATTTTGTGGTAGTGAAACTACGGAGTTATTTGTCGCAATTGTCTGCACAGTGGCCTTTGTGGTGCCTTGTGCCTATCCTATCGCAACCAATCATGTACGTCACAGTCTTGTCGGGTGAGCCTGGGTATCTTGACGTTGTGATGGGCCCATTGTTGATGTGTATGACGCACGTCGTGTGCCACGCGTGATTATCTCCGATTTTTGCCCGTTATGCTCATGGAAGTCCTCGGGGCGGGAAATGTGTGCGTGTCAGCAGCAGTGTCACGCGGGGCTCTCCCGGCTTCTACTTCCCGATGGCCTTTTGTACCGCAGACCGCAGCCTTACGCCTACATACGGAGCTTCGTTTACACACACCCTGTTCCAACCGCTGTTCACCGTTCGGCCTGGGCGTACACACCCAGCAGTTTATGTGGTTATGACGATAATGTCCAGTGCGGACTACCGCCCTAACTTCAACGACGCGCCTGGTTGGCGGGACCGGAACGGCGGTGTCCTGCCGGAGCTCAACCACTTTGTGTCACTGCCCTCCGACACTGCAGCCGGAGCGCATGCCCTAGCCGTTGCTGCCTTTGCCGATATGGTTACAGTCCCGCGTGAGGGCTTGGAGAAAGCGCAAACCGCAGTGGCACAAGCTGAAGAGGCGCCGGATCTTGCGGAGACTCTTGTCGCCGACATGATGATCGCTTTGAGGGAGGTACGAAGCAGGGCTCCATGCCGTTGGTGTATTTGTCTCTGCTGTTGTGGGTGGCGCTGCTTCCTCTTCTTGCGAGACACCTGTCCACTCCATCGCGTGCACGCTTGTTGACCTTAGGGCGTTTGTCCCTCCGTGCACCTCCAGGCTCGCGACATGTTGAAGATGCACGAAGAGAACCACGCGCTTCTCACAGACACCTACTTCGTGAGTTGACTACCTGTTCGTGTGTGATCGAATGTGATCGAAGCTAATTGTCCACAATTGCCAAATCCTTGGCCTAGCTTTCTGGCGGCTAAGTTTGGTTGTTGGCTTTGTCGTGTGTCGTCTAGTGCTGTAGCTATGCGTAGATGCCATGATCAGCACGGCTTCTTGCCACCGATCGAGGAAACTTGGAGCATTTGTTTGTCCAACTAGAACTCCCGATGACAACCATGTGCGGCCGCCATCAGGTCCCATTGGCTTCAACAGGGGCGGCGGCTAACGCCGAACAGGACGCCCACAACAAATGTTTGGTGAGACTCTGGTTTGCGGCACAGGAGACGATATTCCAGTGTACTTTTCGATGCAGCAGACACTGAGGATAACGTCGCTATGTTGCCTCGCAGGGGCCAAGATCCCATCCTACCCTTTGCACGTCGGAAGAAGCATAAAGCGAGGAATTCGTGGCCACTATGAATGCAAGTGGAGTCTCCAATCACTCGCGTGCGTGGTCATGTTCGTGCCTTCCTCATAGTCATCCTCAGGACGAAGAGTCCGTGGAGCGGAAGCGGAGGGAAGAGGCGTCTGAGGCCGAGGCGCGCCGCCGAAGGCGGAAGCAACAGCAGGGGGCGACCGACGGCGGGAAGAAGGGAGAGGGCGGGGGTTCTGGAGTGGGTAGTGGGGGCAAGCTAGCCGGCAGCGACCATGACAAGTAAAAAGCCTGGCGAAACGGGTGGAAGCCAACAAAGTGGGGGTGATGGACATGGACAAGACACCATGGACCACGAGAAGGGCAGAAACGGTGGAATATGCGGCCCAGAGGAGCCGCGTGGAGGAACCGGCAAGGGTGGCGACGACGTGTCCGAGGGGGGCAAACGGCAGGCGACCAAGGACGGGCTTTCAACGGGTGCGCCGGCAGGGGACTGCGGCGGGGCAACGGATATGGAGATCTGTCAACTACGAAGGAAATCTCACGGGTTTCAGCGGCTCGCACTCGCTCGAGAGGGGAGGGTGAGTGGAAGGTTTATCAGTGCCCCCCCGTTACGTGAAGTGGTAACGGGTTCATCGAGTATCATAAACGGCATAAATCGGAGCGCTTGCAGCTTGCGAATCCACCCTAACCGCAGGGAGGGGACCCCCCCCCCCCCC